CTCCTCCCCCTCCCTCCCCTCCCCCTCCTCCTCCCCTCCCTCCCCTCCCTCCTCCTCCTCCTCCTCCTCCTCCTCCTCCTCCTCCTCCTCCTCCTCTTCCTCCTCCTCCTCCTCCTCCTCACGTGCAAACCCTGCCCCCGCACAGCAGCCGCATGGCGAAGTACGAGGCCGCGCCGCTGTAGCGGCCCCGTCGCGGGCGGGGGCGCTCGCCCGCCGGAGCGGGGCCGAAAAGGCATCGCCGCCGGCGCCGCGCTCCGGGGGAGCGGCGTGCAGGACGAGGAGGAGAGGGGGAGCAGAGGGAGGGAGGAGGGGGGGAGGAAACAGGAGGTGGGGAAGGGGAGGGACGAGGGGAAGGACGGAGGGAACTGCAACGGAAGGGGAGGAGGAGGAGGAGGTCGAGGAGGAGGAGGTCGAGGAGGAGGAGGAGGAGGAGCAGGAGCAGGAGGAGGAGCAGGAGGAGGAGGAGCAGGAGGAGCAGGAGGAGCAGGAGGAGCAGGAGAAGGAGGAGGAGGAAGACGAGGACGAGGAGGAGGACGAGGAGGAGGAGGTCGAGGAGGAGGATGAGGAGGAGGAGGAGGAGGAGGAGGAGGAGGAGGCCTCGCGAGCCGCAGCCGCTCCGCCAGTGGGAGCGACGAGCCTCCGAAAGCACGGCAGCGGCGAGGCAACGCGACGGAGTTGGAGGGACGTGTCGACGTACCCATCCGGGACGTCGGCCCCCCTCCAGGGCGACGGTCGGCAAGCACCCCTCCGAGCAGAGCAGTGCTCGGAGAGGGGGCCCGCCCGGGGACCGCCAGTGCGTGCCCCTCGGTGCACGAGACGCATCCAGTGACGATGGGCCCATGTTCCACCACCACTACGGTCAAAAACCCTAATAAGGACGCGCGGCTTTGCTCAGGGTACCCTTGCGTCCTTGCTCTTCCTTGCTCTTGCGTCCTTGGGGTTTTCGTCGTCCGCCGCCCCAAGAATCCCAACTTCGGCTTCCAAGGGTCTTGCGTCCTTACCGCGCGTCCTTTTCAGGGTTTTTGACTGTACCATGGGTAGGAGAGGGAGCAGGAGTAGGACCAGTGGAAGCCCAAGAGTCATCAACGACGTTGGAACAAACCCTCCCTCCACGCTCCCCCTTCATGGGCCCCATACAACGGGTCATTCCCACCACTGAGCGAACTGCCTCGTCGGAAGACAACCGTTTGAAGACCCTGAAGCATGCCAAAACATTGTTCTCGGGGTTCCAACGCCACAGATCAACCTGTTTGTTGCGTCTTGACGATCTTGAACCGTGCCAGAACACCGTTCCTGGGGCCCCAACACCGCGAATCAGCGTAAATGTTGCGTCCTCATAACCCTGAGTCCTTCCAAACACCATTTCTGGTTTGCTGCTCATGGGAATCCGTGCAACTCTTTCAAATTGAACGATGTGCGCGGCGCTAAAGCGAGAGCCACATTTGAAAACCACCCGACCTCAATCGGTGAAACCGTTGTAAATTCTAGAACGAATGTGCGCGGCACTAAGGCGAGAGCCACCTTTTGAAAACGGCCCGCCCTCAGTCCGTGAAGCTCTTGCAAATGCTGGAAACGAATGTGCGCGGCGCTAAGGCGAGAGTCACACTTTGAAAGCGGCCCGCCCTCAATCCGTGAACCTCTTACAAGTTTTTGAAACGAATGCGCGCGACGCTAAGGCGAGAGCCACATTTTGAAAACGGCCCGCCCTCCATCTGTGAAGCTCTTTCAAAACGAATGTGCGTGACGCTAAGGCGAGAGCCGCATTTTGAAAACGACCCGCCCTACATCTGTGAAAAGGTTGTCATTTTTGTACGCTTCAGGGTCGTAGCGGTAAGGGAGCCTCAGGCGAAACGCCCGGTCCGCCCTAAAAATTGGCCTCGGGGTGTGACAAGGAGAAGTTACTGATAAGGAAAAGGCATGGAGGAGGAGGAGGAGGAGGAGGAGGAGGAGGAGGAGGAGGAGGAGGACCTCCTCATCCTCCCTTCCCCCCCGTCCTGCATATGGTAGCGGTGGTGGGGAACTTGCCCATCAAGTGACGAAGGGTGAGATCCCCCCCTTGGTGGTCGCTGGTGGCGCCGAGGCTGAGAGCACGAACCCTGGTGGCCGGCCGCCCCGCCGGCCGTGCAGAGGGATCTTGGACATCGCCGCCGCGCCTGTCGGAGGGAGGAGCAGCGACACGAACGCCACCAGGGGGCCCACCTCCAGCGAGGAGGTCCTCGATGCCTCCCCGAGCTGGAGGCTGGGGATGCCTCGAGCGAGGGGGCGGGACCACATCACCGGGGAGAACCCCCAACGCCTCCCCGCAGCTCCCCGCCCTGGTGGTGCTGGTGCCGCCGCTCCTTGTTTCCAGCCTGGGGCCCGAGAGGGAGGAACACGCACCCACCCGGGCCCCCACAATCGGCTCGTTGCTAGACGGCACCGGACGTCCACGAGGCAGCCATGCCCCGTTCGATCCCCGCCCTGGGTGCGCGTGCTAAGCGGCCTCGCTCGTCGGGGTACCGATCTTGAGGGTGGTTGTCCTGCCCTCGGAATTATTTCTGTAGTGCGCACTGTATGCAATTACATCAATAATTGTGTCGGGAATTAATAATGTAGGCTCGAAATATTGCCAAGAGCATTTTGGTTATGCATTTCTATTGAGTTGGGAAGTTAGAAAGGAATTCGATAAGGAATTTCCTGAGTTAGAGAGGAATTTGAATACCAGAGATAGTTCTGAACCTCAAAGACAATCGAGTCCGAATTGCCCGAGGAAGCCAGGGCCAGGAAGGGAAAAAGGAGTTAGAAAGGAATTCGATAAGGAAATTCAAGAGTTAGAAAGGAATTTTGTTTTTTGGGTTGTTTTGGTGTTTTTTTTTGTTTTTACGACGCCGAGAGGTCTGAGCCAGGAAGGAAAAAACGAGTTAGAAAGGAATTTGATAAGAAAATTCAAGAGTTAGCAAGCAAGGAATTTCGTTTTGGGGGTTGTTTTTGTTTTGCTGGTCTGGGCCAGGAAGGAAAAATGAGTTAGAAAGGGATTTAATAAGGAATTTCAAGAGTTAGAAAGGAATTTCGTTTTTTGGGGTTGTTTTTCGTTTCGTTTTTTTTTTTTTACGACGCCGAGAGGTTTGGGCCAGGACGGAAAAAGGAGTTAGAATGGAATTTAACTAGGAATTTCAAGGGTTAGAAAGGAATTTTGTTTTTTTTTCTGTGTTGTTTTTGTTTTGTTTTGTTTTTTATTTACGACGCCGAGAGGTCTGGGCCAGGAAGGAAAAAGGAGTTAGAAAGGAATTCAATAAGGAATTTCAAGAGTTAGAAAGGATTATGTTTTTTTGGGGGTTGTTTTTTTGTTCTGTTTTTTACGACGCCGAGAGGTCTGGGCCAGGAAGGAAAAAGGAGTTGGAACGGAATTTAATACGGAATTTCAAGGGTTAGAAAGGAATTTCGTTTTTTTGGGGTATGTTTTTTGTTTTGTTTTTTACGACGCCGAGAGGTCTGGGCCAGGAAGGAAAAGGGAATTAGAACGGAATTTAATAAGGAATTTCAAGAGTTAGAAAGGAATTTTGTTTTTTTGGCTGTTTTTTTTCGGGGGTCTGTTTTTTTTTACGACGCCGAGAGGTCTGGGCCAGGAAGGAAAAAGGGAGTTAGAAAGGAATTTAATAAGGAATTTCAAGAATTAGGAATTTCGTGTTCGGGGGTTGTTTTTTTTTGTTTCTTTTTAAACGACGCCGAGAGGTTTGGGCCAGGAAGGAAAAAGGAGTCAGAAGGGAATTTAATAAGGAATTTCAAGAGTTAGAAAAGCAGTTTGTTTTTATGTGGTTGTTTTTTGTTTTGTTTTTCTTCGACGCCGAGAGGTCTGGGCCAGGAAGGAAAAAAAAGGAGTTAGAAAGGAATTTAATCAGGAATTTCAAGAGTTAGAAAGGAAATTCGTTTTTTGAGGTTGTTTTTTGTTTTGTTTTGTTACGGCGCCGAGGGGGGTTGGGCCAGGACGGAAAAAAAGGAGTTAGAAAGAAATTAAATAACGCATTTCAAGAGTTAGAAAGGAATTTCGTTTTTGGTGTTGTTTTTTTTGTTTTGTTTTTTTACGACGCCGAGAGGTCTGGGCCAGGAAGGAAAAAGGAGTTATAAAGGAATCTAACAAGGATTTTCCAGAGATAGAAAGGAATTCTGGATACCAGAGAGAATTCTGAATCGCAGGCCCACTCGCGTCAGAATTCCCCAAGAAACGCTGGGGCCAGGAAGGGGAAACGGAGTTAGAAAGGAATTCGATAAGGAATTTCCCGGGTTAGAAAGGAATTTTAATACCAGGGAGAATTCTGAATTTCAAAGACTATTGAATCAGAGTTCCCCAAGAAACTCTGGGGCCAGGAAGGGAAAAAGGAGTTAGAAAGGAATTTGATACGGACTTTCCCGAGTTAGAAAGGAATTTTGAATACCAGAGAGTATTCAGAATTTCAGAGACAATCGAATCAGAATTCCCCAAGAAACGCTGGGGCCAGGAAGGGGAAACACAGTTAGAAAGGAATGTGGTACGTTCTTTCCTGGGTTACAAAGGAATTTTGAATACCAGAGATAATTCTGAACCTCAGAGAGTATCGAATCAGAATTGTCCGAGAAAGTTAGGGCCAGGAAGGGAAAAAAAGAGTTAGAAAGGAATTTAATAAGACTTTTTCCTGAGTTAGGAAGGAATTATGAATACCAGAGAGAATTCTGAACTTCAGAGACAATCGAATCAGAATTCCCCAAGAAACGCTGGGGCCAGGAAGGGGAAACGGAGTTATAAAGGAATTCGATAACGATTTTCCAGAGTTAGAAAGGAATTTTGAATACCAGAGATAATTCTAAATCTCAGAGCCAATCGCGTCAGAATTCCCCAGGAAACGCTGGGGCCAGGAAGGGAAAAAGGAGTTAGAAAGGAATTTGATAAGGGAATTTCAAGAGTTAGAAAGGAATTATGAATACCAGAGAGAATTCTGACTTCAGAGACTATCGAATCATAATTCCCCAAGAAGCGCCGGGGCCAGGACAGGGAAACGGAGTTAGAAAGGAAATTAATAGGGAATTTCCACAGTTAGAAAGGAATTTTGAATACCAGAGAGAATTCTGAACCTCAGAGACAATCGAGTCCGAATTGCCAGAGAAAGCCAGGGCCAGGAAGGGAGAAAGGAGTTAGAAAGGAATTTGATATGGAAATTCTAAAGGTAGAAAGGATTTTTGAATACCAGAGAGAATTCTGAATTTCAGAGACTATCG